CAATTCCAACCTGGCTGTCTTGAATCAAATGCTTTGGCAGCGCATTGTGTGCCAACACAATGTGTGCAGAGAGAGCACCCTGCACTGGCCCCTGGACAAAGAAGGCACCCCTGTCCAGAGCCACCTCCTCCGATCACGCCCTCTTCCCATTGGATCCCATTTCCCCACGGCTGAACCAAGACAGAGAAGCCCCTTTCCCCACCTCGTGACTGTCCTTGCTCGGCCCTCCCCCGAATATCCTGTTGTACAGAGAATCCAGTGAATTGCTAAAGTCCGAACGCTCAAAACTGTGACTGTCAAGGACTTCTAAAGTGTGGAGCACCCGGCTGATGGTGAACCCTGGAAGAGAAAGGGAGAGGTCAAAGGCAGGGAGCCCACCGCCTGCACAGCAGAGAACTGCAACCCAGCTGCTCAGACACAGGGGCAGCGAGGGAGGGGCGCGGGGGGGGGACTCGGGGCAGGGGCTACCTGCAGTGGCTTCCTGGCATTTGTCGAAGGACCAGCGCACTTCCACGGCCTGGCCACGCTCCTTGATCTGCTGCTCCGTCTCCCGGAGCCTCGCTCGGACCTGGCAAGGAAGGGGCATCAGAGGAAGATCTTGGCTTCTAGGAGGATCCTGAGCCAGCCGGAGAAACAAGGAGGGAGAAAGCCTGGCACAGCCCCTCCCCCACCCCTGGGTCAGCCCCGAGGGCTGGAGACGACCCAGGCCAAGAGGTGGACTGCTGCTCACCTGCTGTATGAAGCTGGTGTTGACCCCTGGCATGGGCAGGTTTGAGGGGGCAATGGGCAGGTGGTCGAGGGGAGAGCCCGTCTTGATTCTGCTGTCCGTAAGGGAGTAATGCCAGACAAGGGCGCTGGGGCAACATAGGACAATACTCTAAAGCCAGAGGAGAAGGGAGGAGACAAGGGGGAGGTTGAGTTCTGGGGGTGAGGACGGGCCCTCCTTCTCAAGGGCAGTTCGCTGCCCAGCACTCGGATGGTCAGCCATTTCCACAGTACTCTCTGATCCCCAAAGCCAAATGTTTTTGGGATATTCGCACCACCCTTCCTTCCGGGCTCCCCTGTGTCTCCACTGGTGAGCCACTCCTGCTAGGACTCTAAGGGAAAGTCCCGTCCTCAGCAGTGGGCAGTTCCTGATGCTTCCTCTCTGACCTCCTGCTACAACACGGGTGTCAAACTTGCCACGTGATGTGACGTATCGTGACTTTTTTCACATTGCCGGAGCTGGGGTGTATGATGCAACTGGCCCACGGGCCGGCAGTTTGACACCTCTGTGCTACAAGGAGCAGCCAGGAAAAGTCTGAGATTCTCCCCATGCTCCTTTTGAAGGCCTGTTAGACAACTCACAAGTGCGCCTCCCGAGCCCTGCAAAGCCAAGCGCTTGCCTGGAGGATGCAGCTGAGCCCAAACACTACTGGGCGATGCTGGGGACACAGCAGCAGGTCGCTGAAAGGGCTGGCGGAGGAGTTTCCCGCAGCCGGCTGGGGAGTTGGGGTGGAGGGGAGTGCCGGGGCCGTCTGAGATGGAAGATGGTGAGCCGGGTGCCCACCGCTGGCATCCAGCAGAATGGCAAGCCGGCGGGTGCAGAAGTAAGCCAGGCGCCTGGACAGGTAGGCAGACTGCACAAACTCACTGGAATACTGTTGGGGAGAAAAGAGACCAGGGCTGCAGCATTAGCTTAGCCGAGAAGCCCACTGCGCTCTGGGACACTCCCTCAAGACACAGCGCCTGAGCTTCCGCCTGCCATCTTCTAGGCTGCTGAATGGTCCATCCAGCGAAAGCCCTCCCTTCCTTACAGTTTTACTCCCGTTTTCCCATCTCAACCCAGCTGGCCCCTCTTCAGTTTGCCTGGGGAGTGGCGGCTGACCTGTAGGAGCAACGGAAGGAGCAGCTTCAGAAGCTCGTCTTCGCCCGGGCGAATCTTCTCAAAGCACTCAAGCACCCAGGTCAGGAACTCATGCCGGTCCAGCATCCCGTCCTGGAAGGAGCAGGCAGAGGCGTAATGAGAGGGCCGGGGGGCTCAGTTCGCCCATCTTCAACACACTTTCCACCAAAGGGGACCCGCCAGCCAGCCAGAGGCCACTTCCCCTCCCCGCCCTCACCTGGAACATAAACATGGCCAGCTTCTCATTGTAGTCCCACTGCTTCACCGAGTGCTCCACCTCCTGAGGCATGATGCTGGAAGGCGAGCTGCAGGCTTGTGCCAGCAGCTGCCGATGAAAGTCGGCAATCTTCTGCAGCTGCTCCCACAGAAATTTGGTAATGATCTGTGTCCACTCTAGAAAGGGAGAGAGGCAGTCAGCAGCAGAGACGGGGCTGGACCTGCTGTGGGACTCCTCAAGCAGAGAAGGCTTTGGATGCAATGGAGACAAGGAACGGTAAGGGGGGAAAGCCAGATCATCCTGGTGATTTGGGTGCAGGAGAAACGGCTGCCCCAGGTGGAGGCTGAGAGACGCCCAGCTCAACCCAAGCCCAGGGCACTACATTGATCCTGGAGGCGTTCGAGGCCAGAGCAGCAGCCCTTACCGCTGAAAGGGTCAATGACATGCCGCTTCTTCACCTTCGTTTCCGTAATGGCAGCGTAATAGGCACAGGTCATCTTGATCAGCCAGGCAGCTCTCATCACGGGCACTGCGTACTTGGCCAGGTAACTAAATATCTCCTCCTTCTTGCTGAAGATGGGCACCTGCCAGAGCACAGCACAAGGAGGGCGATTCAAACATGGCCACGGGCATTTTTGTCAGAGACCAAGCAAGGAGGAGGGCTAGGAAACCAGGCATCGTGTGAACTGCAGCCCCTGCTCTCCTCACAACAGCCACATTTCGCTCGCTCCATCTCGTTCTTTCATCTCCCTCCACAAACCTGTAGCTCCGCATCAGGGCTGGGTCTCTGAGAACTCCTGCTCATCCCTCGCGTTCTTGCCCTGCCTCAGCAGAATGCTAAGGGCTCCCCTTCCCCACACAGAGCTCCCGTCTCTTTGTCCAAGTCCTCGCCAAAGCCGTCCAACAGTGAACCTTGATGGTTTACAGACGCTCTGGGTCTCCTGACCTCAGCCACCCCTTCAATGATCTGGGGAGCCTTGGCAGTGCGGTACCTTTTTAGCCAGGTGGGTGAGCGGTTTGGTTCCAGCCAGATCATTGAACCAATTGTTAATCGCGCTCTGGGAGCGAGCCGTCACCGGCCAGAAGTTGTCCTTTTGGTTCACCTGCGGCTTCCGACGGCCTGTGTCAGGCAACGTGTTGCAGCGCAGCTTTTCAGCAATGATGCTGCTGAAGTTGGAGCTGATCTGGAGAAGAGGAAAAGGAGCTTTCAGGCTTCTTTGGCCACAGGACACCCTGCGGAAGCACCTGCCTCACTTTCCCTCAAGAGCAATGACTTGGCTTCATGGACGGAGGCACCTCCACATTGAGAAGAGGCTCCTCTGCCGCTGCAGAGCCCCCACCTGAGACCAGGGCCCCCTTTCTCTCTTTGAGAGGCTGGGCTTGGTGACATGGTGCCAGACAGCCCCACGTTCTCAACATCACTTCGTCAGCTCATTTCTGCTGCTCAGAGCTTCACCCTTAACCCCAAGACCACATGCAGGACGAGGGGGTAGCCAGCCAGCATTGCTTCTCCCGGGACCCTGAACTCTACCCCCCAGCTGCCACTTTCAGCTGTGATTGAGCAGCCCGGAAAGCCGGGACCAACCCTCAGCCAGGACTCGGAGGCTGGGCTGCAATGGGCCATCCTGCGCTCCGGTGGCCTGGGCAGTCTGGGGGGGGAGGGGGGCTCACCTTGGCCGGGTTGAAGTTGACGTTCTTGGCACTGCCGTGTTCGTCGCCAGAAACGGCCGGCTGGTTGTTGAAGCCCTGCTTCACGTTGAGAGCCGTCAGCTCGTCCTGGGGGAGGAAGGCGAGGGTCACCCAGCGCTCCGCCCTCCCCCGCTCTGGAGTGGGTCAGCAGCCCCTGGCAGCCCCGCCCCCACCGGCAGGCGCGCCCGGGGAGACCCCCGAGGCCAGGGCAGGCACAGGCGGGCTGCCGGCGGGAGGCGGATCTCCGGACGGAGCTCGCCCAGCCGCGGGGGGGAGGGGAGCCTCCATGGCCAAGAGCAGCCGGGGCCAGGCGGGGCCGAGGTCCGCGGGGCCCCCGACGCCACGGCCGTCTCCCCCCCCGGGCCCTTCTCCCTCCGGACGCGGGGGGCGCTGCGCCCGCCGCCCTCCCGCAGGGGCCGACCTCCCGGCCGGGCGCTGCGGCCCGCTCACCTCCTTCTGCTTGGGGTCCTGCGGATAGACGTCGGGCGGGCCCAGGCGCGGCCGCTTGAGAGGCCGGTGCTCGTAGCTCAGCACCCCGAAGGCCGCCATAGCCCACCAAGAGGCGCTGCCGGCCCGCCCGCCGACCAGACGAGGCCCGGACACCGGGTCGGCGGCGGCGGCGGCGGAACCAGCCGAGCCGGGCCGACGGCTGCCGGAAAAGGCCGAGCGAGGGGTCGGGGCAGGCGGGCCGCGCCGAAGCCTTCCGAGGGGCGCTCGGCGGCGTAGGACCCGGGCGGCGCCGGAATGGATCGCGCGCGGCTGCGGCGGGCGCGGAGGACAAAAAGCGGAGCACCGCCGCGGCGGTCGGAAGCGATGACGCGCCCGGCCGGGGCCCTCCCTCCTCGCCGCCGCCGCGCACGGAAATTGCCGAGGGCGGACGGAGACGGCCGAGAAGACCCCTGCTTCTCCCTCTGCCGGCCGAGCTGGGTCACTGCAGCGCCCCGCAGTCCGTGGAGCCGGAGGCGGTGCCGCGAGGCAGCTAAGAGCCTCGGCCTTTGTGTCAATTTGGCCGGTTGCGATGGTGCATTTAGGAAAGGGGCGCAACACAGTGTGCAGGCCTGTCCGGGCAAGGTTGCTCCCGCCCCGCCCCCCCGGAATGGGTTTCATCCTCTGGGATGAGATGCTGGAGGGGAGAGAAGGGCTGCCCCTCCAGCACCAGGGCGGGCTAAGCACCGCAAGAATTCCCGATCTTTTTGCTAAAGCGGCTAAAAGTTCCCAAGTCTGGTGACTTTGCTGCCAGGGAAGAGGCTGAGCCACACACACAGACACCAGTATTGTCCGCCTTGTTCTCTTCTAGATGCTCTCCTGGGGTCTCCCCAGATGTGCTCCATCACACCCAGCACCTGCTTCCGAAAGCCAAGCCCAGGGCATCTCCTTCCATGGGAAGTAACGGGGCAAGAGGTTCTCCAGGAGGCGACCCCCCAGCGGTGGTCCTGCTGTCTGGAGGGTGGGCGAGGGTCTCCCATGCCACTCTTCTGACTTGCAGCCCTTCCAAGGAAAAATCCCAGAGGGTCTCCGGCTCTGGATGGCGCTCCAATGGAGACTGCCTCCTGGGTTGGGGGCAAGGTCTCCCAATGGTTTCAGCCACCTCTGGAAATCCCCCTGGGGCCAACACTCCCAGGGATTTCAGGCCAGAAACTTTCCACAGGAAACGGGTGGCAGGTGGCGGCGGAAGTGATGCATTCCAGCCACAGATAAAGTTTCATCTCACACACACACTCAGCACTTCGAGGTGCAGTCAGAACAGGCGGTTCTGGGGCAGCAGCTCTTTCTCGTGCTGGAGAATGAGGGTCTTGGACCATCCGGGAAGCCTGCTTGGACTCCTGCTGCTGCTGGTGGCCCCTGGGGGGGAAGCGGCAGGCAGCCCGCAGGCAAAAGGTACGGGCCCCCCTCGCCTGCTTCTCTCCGTAGGGGGTGTGGGTGAGGGGTGCTGGAACTTGTATCCCCCTTCCCAAATTCCCCTTGAACTTTCCTTGAGGGAAGGAAGAAAACCCATCAGATCAAAGAGACATTGTAATTAAACTATAGCATGTCTTGGCTTTGCATGTTGGGCTGTTGTCATCTGTAAACCATGATTTGTGGCTAAGCATTCAGGTGGCACTTTGTGGCAGTTCAGCCAGCAAGGCCTGGTTTAGCTCACTTGGGAACAGCCGTAGAACTGCTTGTCTCTAAATTGGTCCCTCTGACACCCTGAAAATGATAGTAGCCTTGGAACTGTTAAGAAACGGGGAGTGGGGCGGGAGAAGGGCCGGCTTTGGAGACAGGCGTTTAGCACCCCAGGCGGATGGTCACTTTCTTGACCTTCTCTCAAGTGGGGAATCTGGACCTTCTGAAAGAAGGCCTAGCGGGCACTGCTGAGCCTAGGGGTCTTCTCTGAAAATTGATAATAAAAATCAAAGAAGGGGGGAAGAGGCTGTCTGAGCGGGAACAGAAGGGAGCCGGCTGAGGTCTCTGGAGCCTTCAAGGCTCCCTTCCTTACAGGAGGATCCGTTCTCAGCCCCGCTTGGGTGGGAGGGAGCCTCAGCTGAGCATGGAGGAGGTTGTTCTTTCTTCCCACAGTGGACTGCATTTGCCACAATGAAGATTACGTGATCTGCGACTGGGGTAGCCAGCAGAAGCCGGGTCACAACTACTCTTTCTACTTCTGGTAGGTGCCCTCCGCCCTCTTCACCCCTGGGGTGGCACCCCCCTTTCTCAGCTTCAGCCCCCCCTTCACCTCTTTGCCACAAGGTAGAGCTGGCCAGGACCTCCCTCCTGCTCTCCCTCCCTCACCAGGGTTGGGGCATTCATGCCGCTGTTGAGCCAGGCCTGGTTAGGACAAGCCAGCCTCCCACAGAATCGCTCCTCCTGCTAAGGGAGGGCCGGCCCCAGCCAAAGGCCGTGGCACCTTCAGGCAGGTAACAGCGCCTACCCGAAATCAAGCAGGCCAGGGCTGGTGACGCCCTTATGAAGTCGCAGGGTTGGGGGTCAGCCGGATGACCTCCTAGCGTCTCTGGCCTCGCTTGCCCTGCGCTTCCAACCTGAAGCTGCCGATCGAAAAGGATCCAGCCGTCCCTTCTCTGCGCAGGTTCGAAGAACTCAGTAAGCCAGCAGAGTGCAAGGAATACGGACAGATAGATGGACTCAATGTGGCATGCCAGTTCAGCCAATATCACCTCTTCAACTACTTGAAAATGTACCTCAATGACAGTCAGGGGCAGAATGTTGTCCCCGAAGCCGTACTCCTGAACACCCGAGGTATGGAGGAGCTCCTGCATGGGGCATTCCAAGGAGCAGAGAGGCCCAGCTTCCCCAGTGGGGCTCAGGGCTGACCCGGCCTGTTGCTCTTGCTGCCTTGAGGACCAGCCATTTCCTCACCTGGCTCGCCATCCAGTCGATCCCCCTTTCTGTCTCACCAGGCAGCCGAGGGCTCCAGCTGTCCCTGATGCTGGTGGTCACAATGACCCTCAATTTCTCTGTTTTCTTTTCAGGGGTTGATTTTGTGGTGGCCATTTCCCCCCTCCCCATAACATGCAGTTTCAATTGTTTAGAAAAAGTGTTGGGTCTTAAGGAGCTGATGGGCTCTGTTGGCCTCTGGATCTGCTCTGCCCGGCTGGTCTGGGCTGGAGCTGGCTGTGACCGACAGGGAAGCGGTTTGGCCTGTGGGGGAAGAGGCCGGTGGGCCAAGCTCCTGTGCCCTCAGGGCTCCATCTGAATTCTCTCTTAGTGAGACCCGGCAAGCCTTTCAACCTCACCTTGCAAAACCTGAGCAACCACCAGCTGCTCCTGACCTGGGACACTCCCTACAAAAATGCCAACTGTTTGCAGCACACTGTCAGATACAAGAGCAACAAGGACACACAGTGGATGGTAGGGAAGTTGTACTGCTGGACGGTTTAGTGGCCGGGCTCACGTCTGGCCACCGAGAAACCAACCACATTAGGGCTGGGTAGGAGGGATGAACCAATTAGTGCCAAAGGAAGCCTTGTGGCACTGAATGGCCGTGTCCTTGTCTACTTCGGAGCCTAGCCTCCCTCTTGCTTGAGGAAGGGTGTGTGTTAAAGGTTAAATGTTCTTCTTCCAGCGGGGAAGCTGCCTAGTCTGTGGCAGCCAAAGCCCCCTGGCCTTCTGGCATCTTAGGGACAAGCTTCGGCACTAGAGCTGGGCTCCCTTCCATTAGAGGCGGGGCAGGAATTGAACATTTGTCTTGCTTTCCAGGAATACCACGTAAACAGCATGGAGTTCCAAATTCCCAGTGTGGATCCTAAGAAGCACTACACCTTCTATGTCAAGAGTAAACTGCACAACAAGTGTGCAACCACAGATCTCTGGAGTGAGGAATCCAACCCTACCTTTTGGGGAAAAGGTGAGCGGGCAGGACAGGATGGATTTTCTGTCTCCCAAAGCCAAGAAAGGGGAACAGGAACAATGTCCAGCCCATGGGCACCTCGCCTGCCTTTGGGGACAGTGCTGGGAAGCCGCCCTCTGCTCTAAAGGCACCTCTCGGCCTCCAGCTGGTGTGCAGAGCAGGCCAGGGGCTACCCAATTCTCAACAACTCTTGCCAGCTCACAATTGTCAAAGAAATTATAATAAATGAGATAAAAGATGGCCAGTGTGATAAAGTGAGGGGGTCTCACTGCACCCAAGCAGGGCCCAGGGTTGTAGGGAATAACAAAGTGGTTTTTGCATCTGACCATGTTTAATACAGTTTAAGAGCGAATACTTGGAAAATGAACAAGGTCTAGATTAGAATAACAAGAAAAAGCAAAGGGTTAGAGGAACAGGAACTGTCTGCGCTGACAGTCTAACCACAAGAGCTTGCATATAATAATGAAACTAATTGCTTATGCCTATGCAGACCTGGGTGCCAGGCAAAACTGCCGGTGCAGAGAAACTAATTTCGGAAGGGCAAAGCAAAGGGAGAGATTTAAACACAGGTAGGAGCCAAGTAGGGGGTTCTCGTGGGGGAACTAGGCCTTCCGGATAAGGTGTAAACCTTGTGGTCACATGGGATTGCAAGGGAGGGACCTGCGCTTCGGGCCTAGGGAATGAAAGGCTGCTGAAACCAATTTGGGGTCTGCCTTCTTGTTAGCCACCCGCTCTTGCAAGAACGTATTTTTCAATAAACTGCTTGCTTCACTTGATGACTCGGTCACATTCTTGGAAGCTGAGAGTGTTTCTCACAATTTGGGAGCTCGTGCCAGGATTTAAAGTCACCGTGGGGACTGGGGCCGTCCACCCTGGAGGCGGGAAGATGTGTCCCATTGATTTCAATGGTCCCGTCTGCCACTGGTGGTCATCTGGCTCCTCCGACTGATCAAGATGCCGGGATATCCTCATGCCAGAAGGCCCTGGGCGAAGAACAAGGAAGGGAGGGAGCCCAGGCTGGAGAGCAGGCAATAATGCGCACGCGCGCGTGTGTGTGTGTGTGTGTGTGTGTGTGTGTGTGTGTGTTTGTGAGAGAGAGAGAGAGAGAGAGAGAGAGAGAGAGAGAGAGAGAGACAACTAAAATGAAAGGTTAAACAACTAAAAGGAAATTTGTTGATGGGCAGACATTCAAAACCCATTGTTGCAAATTCACAGGGAGGGACCCAGAGGATTCGGTAGAATTACTGAAATGGTGAGGGAAATTTTAAATCCTGGAGAAGAAAAGTGCTTCTCCTATAGCTGGGAAAGCAGAGAGACAGAAACTAGATAAACTTGGTGAATCTGATGAAGTTGGAGGATCGAGGATGTCAAGGGCTCATTTATTTGGGTCCCACCACAGGAGAGTCTTTGATAAATTTAAAAGTGGGATCGGAAAGAAGAAGAAGAAACGGTTTCCTTGAGGTTTGGGCAGAAGCTTCTAGTCCACAGAGTGGAGGGATGTCCTTCCTCGCTCCCTATAATGAAGCCCCTCTTGATGTTCCAGCAATGGGGAAGTGGGAATTATGTGTGATTTCTAGATAAATTCTCAGACATGGGTAAATTTGGCAAAATGGGATATGTAGTCTGTCCTAGGGGTGGACGTTAAATTGGGTCAAAGGAAAATAAGGGTTGTGTTATGTCCACTAAGAAAAGAAGAGGAGAAATAACCTAACCCCAAAGTCTGAGTTGGAATTGGAAATAGGGGAGGATTGAAAATAGCTTCAATTGAAATTACTTTAAGGAATATTGGGGAAGTAGTAAGGATGAAACAATATTCTCTTGGAGGACAGAAAGGGATTGAAATCAGTCATTAATCAGCTCATGGAGGAAGGTTTGTGGGAATCTTGTATGTCCCCATATGATATTCCAATTTTACCTATTAAGAAACTTGATGGTTCTTATGGACTAGTGCACTAGATCTCAGAGCAGTGAATGCGATAGTCCACAAGAAGCTAGGAAATTGATTTAGGAGGGGAGTAATAACTGTGTCAGTAAATTATCAGGTATGCATAATCCTGGCACAAAAAGCTGGCTAATGCTTAACAGATTCTAAAAATTTAAAGTGTAAAACTATATTAATGGAAAGAAATGATTTAATTTTGACAAAAGCTAATAGACTAAAATTGGCCACTTTCCTAAAGGGACAGGGATATTTCTCTGTCAAATTCTTGGAAGCTGAGTGTGTTTCTTACAGGGTGAAGAGACAGTGCTGGGTGGAGTGTGGATGGAACTGCCAAGCACAATAGGCTGTAGAGATCCTTTTTTAAAACTTCAGTTCCTTCCACCTGTATCTGTTGGCTGTTACAGAATGCATAGAGGCCGGTGGCGATAGGCTGTCTGATAGGCCGTTGCAGGGGAACTGAACTCAAATAGGGAATGCACAAATCCCCGCTGGGTTTTCTTTTCCATGGGCCCAGTGCTGCTGGGACCCAGCTGTCCCACCTCTTGGAAATTTTGGACTGTCTTGGAGAGTCAGTTGGAGAGTCAAACGTTTGTCAAACCTCAGATGATATGGGAGAACTTCTGATCTGTCACTCTGGCAGAGGAACTCCAGGAGCAGATAATTTGCTTGCTTTGGCGCGAGGTGCGAAGATGAAAACGTTCCTGGTCTGAGACCCTCACCTGGCTTCCTCCTTTGCAGAAGACGTGTCCCCCACTTCACCGCCCTCTTCACTCAAAGACGTGGTGATTCCATTGGGCTTCTTCTTCGTTCTGCTGGTGCTACTCTTGGGCTTGCTGCAGATGGAGAGGTGAGCAGGGCTGTAGGGGAGACTGGGGCTGATTCTGCCTGGGGCGAGGGACTCCAGGGTTGGACCCATAGGGGAGAAATTGAGGCATCTTGCCCCAGAGCATGGCCCACAAACAGAGAGAGAGATGTCCATGTCCTCCACCTCATATTACTTCTCTCGGTCTAGTGGGCTAATTGAGGCAGGGCTGGAGGTAAAACAGCTCTGGATCCCATCCTCTCTTCTCACCAACAGAATGTGGGTGGTCCTGATGCCCAGAATCCCAAAACCCAGCAGGAAGTTTGAGGATCTCTTCACTGCATATCAAGGCAATTTTTCAGTAAGTCTGGCAAAGCCTACGAGACGTGAGTCAGCTTCAGAGTCCCAGAAAAATTCAGGTGATTTCTACTTTATGCCGTGGAGAAGGTGCCTACCAGGGCCTCTTGGCAGCCCAGGCTTGGCTCTGCTCATCTGCAGGCAGGCTATTCACAAAGGAAGAAGGTCTCAGTCTTAGCTTTGGGGGGGGGGGCACGTGTGTCTTTCCAACCTGTCCTTTCTTTGCCAGGAATGGTCTGGAGTCTCCAAAGACATGCTGGAGAGCTTTAGGCCCAGCCATTATGAAAACATCTGCTCCATCACTGAGCTGCTGCCCGGCGGGGACTGCCTGCCTGCAAGCAATGAGGCCACAACCAAGACGGGAGAATTGCCTGACCCTTTGCCAGACCCTCCTCCCAAGGCCAGCCCGGGCCCTGCGGCATTCACCACCTGAGTTTGCACATGGAGCCCCGGAGAGAGGAGTCCTGCCTCCAGGGCCCCCAAAGCCCCCCCCCAGCTGCTTGTAAAGGGATGGAAGAGAATTCAGTCAGGAAAGGAATGACACAAGCTGCCCCCACTAAAAGAATGCACTGCGGGTGCCTAGGCTGACCTCTGGCCGAGCTTCCCACTTCTGCAGTGGACATCCTGCCTCTACCTCCCAAATGTCCCCATGACTTACGGGGCCAGTAATCTTCTGCAGGGAGGTGGGGTCTGGTGCTGGATTTTTCTTCAGCCACGGTATCCCACCCAGGCGGCTTTGACTTCCCACTGACCCCTCTTGCTTTCCTGCTGCTGACTGAGTGGGTGCGTTTCCTGTATTCGAATACAAAGGCCCTTGCTCATTGCCTCCTTCCTCTGAGCCTTCCAGGGGTCCTCTTGTGTCCCGCCCCTGGCAACACTGGTCCTCATTTGATGGCTGAGCTGTTGCATCCAGAGCCCCTGGTCACTTAGCTGCTTCTGCTCACCAAATTCTTAATTACAGGATTCCCGTTGATAAAATTCACGGAGCACTCAAAAAAGCTTGTCATGAAATGTGTCCTCATTAAACATGCTTTAGACTTTCTCAGACAGCATTTCATTGACCTGATTTGTGGAGGGTATTAAACTGCTTGTTTAGTTATTATTGAGTCAACTACAATTGGCCAACACACCTGGCCATCAACCCAGGTTTATAAGCTACTGTGGGTTGGTTGGGCTCCCCACCAAACAGCCAAACCATATTATGGCTTAGTGCAATGCAGGAACTGACCTAATATGGCTGATTCCACAAGCTATGTTTGAGGAAACCATGGTCAGGGTGCCAGGCCTGCCTGCTTGCCTCACAAAGCCATTCATTATGACATGTCACAAAAGCTCCAAGGCTGCTCAACCCTGGAGAACTTGCCAGCCATGCCAAAGACAGCTGGGGCATGTTCATTATCATCAAGCATGGAGGTAAGGAAAGGTGGACCGAGAGGGTCCGTGGAGTGGACATGAGGCAGGCAGGAGAGCTAACCCTATGGGCTGCTTTATCCAACTAGAGGGAAGCTGAGGCAGGACCTCTTGGGACTCCTTAGAGCCAGGAGCAGACCCTCCAAACCTTTGACCCTCCTCCCAGAAACTGGACGCTCTCAGGGACATGTGTTGTCATGGCAGGTGCAGCCCCCACTTTTAAAAACGTGTTTTATCAGACACACAATCCTCATTAATCCAGAATTAATGTGTTTGTTATTCCAAAGACTGGAGGCAGAAGGCCGATTGTATGGACAAATAAACTTTGGGGCCCGAGTCGGTTCAAGCAACCCTGAACGATGGCTCTTCCATCCTGGATGCATCCAGCCAAGGGAAACCCTCCCTGGCCCTGATGCCAATGCCAGAAGGGTGAGACCACAAGGAAGCCTGGGCAGGGATGCACGACATCCAGGCACCAAGTGTGGAGGAGTCCAGGCGATCCCTTCGACGGGCAACCTCGGAAGGGTTGAGGAGAATGGCAATAGCCAGAATGGAAACGCCGTTCTTTCCCCCTCTCCAGTCGTGTGTCTGTCTTCTCCAACCTTTCTCTTCCTTGTGACAGAGGCTCAGGTGGCCAGTCAGGCCCAGAGCTGCTGATGTTCCCCAGGACAGGGCAGGAGAAGCCACCCTTCTCCAGCGGGAAAACATTGCATTACTCAGCGGTGACCGCAACTCCTCTCCTTTCAGACAACCGGCAGTTCCTGGCCAACATCAATTGCTCCATTTTGCTTCTAACCCATTACCTGCGTGATAAGGTGGGATTGCACAGGACAGGTGAGAAGGACCCAGGCTGTTCAGGGCCAAGGGAGGGGAATACCTCATCATTGGGAGACTGGCAAGGACAAGGAAGTGGGTCAGGAGGGAGCATGGCTGGCGATCAGGCTTGGTGTCTGCTGGACTGGAATGTGGCTCCACCATGTGCAGTTCAGGTAACCCTTGAAGGAATCTCATGGGTGGCGATTGTCTCAGGGCATTGTGGTCACCACCACCAATTGGGAAGACACGGATTCTGGAAGGAAGGCCCGTAGCTTTTGGATAAGAGTGCAGAGCTTTGAGGTGGGCCTGGAAGAAGATTTCAGAAATGGAGAGGAAGTGATATTTTAGGCCTGTAGAACAATAGTGTTGAGATGTGGATTCTGGCCAGATGAAAGCTCTGAACCCCAACACCAGGTGGGGCCTCCATGCACACAACCTCATTCATTTGTTCATTTGCTCACTCAATTTGTCTGGGCAGTTGGTGTTAAAAACAACTGAAAAATACATCAGTAATGGGAATAAATCAATAGAAACACACTACATCCATAGCACAATAATTCACAGGTGACCATTCACCGAACTTCCTGGCCTGGTACCCAAGGGTCAGGTCTTCAGGCTCATCAATTTACTCCTGAATCCAATGCTTGAATAAACCTACAAAGGGAGGGGCTGCAGGCCTCCTTCTGCTGGCAAGATGATCAGGTGAACCTGGAGGTAAGGATGAGGTGCACTGCTCTTCTCCTGCGAAGCTGAAGCCCTGAAGGATCTAAAGAAGGATGAATGAGGGGCAAAGTCATTCATTCGGTGGGGTGGGGTGGAGTGGGGGGAAATCCTGCTTGCCAACTTCTGCAGTTTCTTCTCAGACTCCATTGACCTGTGTGAAGAGAATGGGACCCTGAAGCTGATTTTCCTGGTCAAGTTCCCAGAAGACAATGCCAGCAAGTTCCTCACTGCACGGGGAACCTACTACATTTGCAAAGTGGAGCGTGGCACCACAGGTGGGTGTGTGCAGGGAGCAGCCCATCCCAGAGGGCAGCCATCAGAGTCCCAGTCCTGCTTTTGCTCCAAACCTTTGGGAAAGTCAGTCGGAGGTAGATGCCCTCTTTCTTGGGGGGGGGGGCAGATATCTTTCTGGGGTCTTCTCTGCTGTTGCTTTGACTTGAGCAACTACCTGAGTGGAATCTTCCAACCACTGCCTGTCTCAGGGTGGTTTCCACCTAAGTCCACAGTAAAGGTCTCTCCTTCCTTCCCCTGTTAGTAGACCATTAATTGGGCCCAAAGGGCTGTCTGCATGCTAGCCAGATGCTTTATGCCAATTTGGGGGCTGATGTTTGGACCGTGCCCGATTACAACTTGCACCATCTAAGTATTGGGCATTTATATCCAGCCATTGTGCCCTGGCGCTTTTGCAGGCCAAAGCACCCACAGCTCATCTCCCAAAGCTTTGCTAGGATCACAGCACCTGATGTGGGCTTCTCTTCTCCTTCACTGCAGGGACCAAAAATGAACATAGCTATCGAGCCTTCCAACCTCTAATCAAGTCTCCTCCGCAGGATTTGCTGGGTAAGGCACCTCGGCACAGGGTGGGTCTCCGGAAGCTTTTTCCTCCCAAGAGACACCTTTGGGAGTGGTTGGGAGGGTGGGCAGAACTGTGGAGAGCTGCCAGGTGTGAGAGAAGGGGGTGGTCTGATCGATATGAATCTGACAGATCTTCCCCCCAAAATAAAGGGGAGGCACTGCTGCTCCCTCTGACATTGGCACCTTGGCGGGCATGGGGGTTGCTAGAAGGGGGAAAGAGGTGGCAGGAGATTGGCTCTGGATCCAAGGGGCATCTGTGAAGTTTTAGACAGAGACCTTGGAGTGGGTAAGTGAAGGTGGTAAGTGGGAGCGATGCCATCCCCCTTGGCCTCCTTCCCCTCTTCCCAGCCCTCTTGAATCATGGAGGATCAGAATGACCTGCCAGGCAGGCAGTTACTATCCTGGTCACCTCTGCCTCCCCTGGCAATGCCAGAAGAACCACAGAGCCTCTCCTCCCTCTTAGATTCTCTTCGCAACCAGTGTGAGTTTCTTGAAAAAAGCCGCCTGAAGATGCTCAAGAACCAGGATGGGAAGAAGCCCCCAACCATGGAAGCTCTCCTATCCTACATGGCCAATCAGGTGGTGGTAAGGCTCCCCTCTCGTTCTCAGCCAGACCCCCCGGACCCCCTTTCATGATGGGTCCAGGACTCAGCCTCCCTCTGCTTTCCTTCCTTCCTTCCTCTGCACTGCTGAACAGCAGGCAGGGAGGAGGGAGCTCTGGCCACCTCGCTGCCCCCATTGCTGCTGCTGGCCGGTGGGCGGTCCGCCCCCCCCCCCACCTTACTAGAAGCCCCAGTGATCTGTGCTGCCTCCCCCTTCAGGGAAAAAGCTCTGGGAAGCCAGGAGGGAGCATGGCCAGCGGTCTAGACGAGGAGGGCTTGCCACGCAAAACGGCCGCCGCCACCAAGGCGAGACTGGAGGCCATCCGGAAGGAGAAGGAAAAGCACCGCTGACCCTGGAAAGAGATCCTGGGGGAGCTCCAGCCCCTTCCCCTCAGCAGGCCCTCCGCTGCACCCATGGGAGTGACTTTGCGCTCCAATAAAAGTGCCTCTGGCCCTGACTCCCCAGCCCCCTTCCCCCTTTCCCTCTGAAGCCGATGCCCCGCTGAGGAGCAGGGGTGGCTTCCAGCTGCATTGTCTGCCGATCTGTTTCACATTCGGGACGGGTTCTGATGGTGATGGTGATGAGGTCCTTTCGAGGCTGATGTCACCAGGGAGGCTCCTGATTGGAGGTTCTGAAGAGAAGCTGCAGCAGAAACGGGATTTGCCGGCCCAGGCTCCAGAAATAAGGTGGGGGGCGGGCCGCTGGCTTCTTGCCTTGAGGGATGCCCCCGGGTAGTCCGGCTGCTTTGGCAGCGCTGCAGAGGGCCAAGGGGAATGCCTCCTGCACCGGCCCCAGCCTTCACAGCTAAGTGTGATGAGCTCTGGGTAGCCCCTTGAAACTCGGCCAAGCCAGAGGTGCACCTGACGGATGTTTGTCTCTCGCCTACCTTTGCACCTGACCCCAGGTCTGGAAGTCCAAAGCCAGGAAAAGTAGAGGTGGAAGAGGGCACCCAGAGGGCAGGAAGAACCCTTGGAGGTACATTAAAACAATCTAAATGGAAAGTACCTTTGAACGTTATCAAACACCGGAGCTCTCTTTTGGGGGGCTTCCCTGCGGTGGAGCTCAAGACATCGCTAGAGTGCTTGGAGTTGTCCTGGGGAGGCACGTCCAGCGTTCATTCCAAGGGTACCCAGTGGCAGGAAAAGGCTTAGGGGTCCCCTGCTCTGTTCACTGCTCTGGCATAAAACGGTGAGGAAGCTGCCTTAATCCTTGCACAAATCTTGCATAGCCAGAAAAGCCGCTAATGAACTGCGGTGTGTGTGTGTGTGTGTGTGTGTGTGTGTGTGTGTGTGTGTGAGAGAGAGAGAGAGAGAGAGAGAGAGAGAGAGAGAGAGAGAGAGAGAGAAAAGAGACTTGTGTTGGGGTGCCCTGCTTTGCACCAGAAGCCATGGCACAGGCGAACTACTGCTTGACACGTTTTAGCAAAGCCGGGCTGGGCACGAGCTGATGCCGGGTCGGCTTATCAGGCCGGCGCTCACGCTGATAACTGGGTGATTCCCGATAAAAGAATAAGGCGCTTCAGATAAAGACTGACTGGATACGTAGAGTCGCTTCCCAGACTGAAGTCCAGAAATGGGGGACTTAGGAGTCCTTTTACCAACCGGCTGCCCCGTATTAACTTTCCGATCTACGCTGTGAGCCATAAGCAACTGGATGTTTCACACCTGACCTCGGGAGGAAGCCGCTGGCCAAAGAATCCGAATAGTTTTCTGCAAAATTCTAGGGGGCTTCATTCGAGCCTTCTTTCAGCCGGACCGACCTCCGCGGGCTCCGCGCGAAAACAGGACGCGGCTCCTTTAAGAGCTGTCAAGGGACACCACGCTGGATCCGTGGCCACGCCCCCTTGCTCTCAGGGGCGGGGCCCGGGCGCTTGACGGGCAGGGAATTTTCCACTGGGCCCTACAAAGCCTCGCCCTCCGCCCGCCGCCGGGCCCGCCCGCCGCCTGCGATTGGTCAGTAGGCCGGCCGGCCCCGCCCCCGCTGCGGTGTATGAACGGCGCCGGGCTGTGGGTACACCCCCTCGCGCCCCGACTCCGGCTGGGCTGTCCGCGCTCCAGCCTCCCGTCGGTGGCGGCTGCAAGTCCGGCGGCGGCAGCCCCGGCCGGTGGGCCGGCGAAAATGATCCTCTGCCCCCCGAGCGCGGAGCCCCCCCGCGGAAAGCCGTGCCAGAGGCTGCAGGTAAGGGAGCCGGCCCCGAGCGGGGCGACCGGGCTCCCCCTGCAGTGGAGCCCCGGCGAGGGGGCCCCCGTTCGCCCCCGCGGACCCGTCCGCGGCAGCCCTGCAGCGGCCCAGGGAGCTCCGGCCGGGGGGCGGGCAGAGGCGATGGGTGCCCGCAGCGGCAGAGGCGACCTTGCCCGCATCTCCCTCCCTGCGGCGCCGCTCGCCTTCTCCCCGTCGTCCTGCCCGGGCGGCGGAGGCGGGGATGCTAGCGCTCCCAGCCCGAACCGCCGCTGGACCGACCTGCCCCCCCCCCCCGCGCTGCCAATCAAACTTGTTTTTCTCGTTCTCCTCTTGCCTTTCGGCGGTCGTGCCGGCAGGGGGCGCAGCAACTCTCTTGCGGCCGCAACTGGGACCGGCCGGGAGAGACAATGGACCGGGACCGCGGAGGAAGGGGGACCGAACCCATCCAGCTGTTGCTGCTGCCGCCGCCGCCGCCGCCGCCGCTGCTCCGTGGGCAAGGGGGCGTGTTCCTCCAGTTCTCTCCGATTAGACGGGCGGAGGGGCGCCCCTTCCCGTTTTGGGGAGGGGGTCAAGCCTTCGCTTTCACTGGGAGCTGGGCTGCTTCAGCAAAAGCTGTCCCCCCCCCCGCGTGCGTGGTCCCAATTTGCTGCTGCCTCGAGGGCCCGGGCCCCTTCCTTTGTTTTGCTCGTCCTGCCTTTGTCTCCCTCCCCCTGCAGCCTCTGGGGGATGGGGCTGTTGGGGGATGCGGCTCTCTGGTTCAGCCCCCCCCCCCAACAGTGTCAGTTCCAGAGGTGGGTAGAAAGCAGGGTCTGTCCTCCCAAATCTGTCTCTTGGGCCTCTTCCAGAATGTTTGTAAGTGCCTATCCTGAAAGGAGGAGAGGGGCTCTGGGGAGCTCCTGAAGATTTCCTTAAGGGGGGGGCAGGATGCTTGTAAGTGGTGGAGCCCCCCTTGTCTCTCGGTCTTCAGACTGGCACTACAATGGTGCCTCTGCTTTTGCTTGGGGAGTGGGCCTGGGAATGGGATTTCCCCACTGCCTCCCCTGTCCTTCTTTGTTTTTGTAGAGGCCGGACACTGGCCAGGTCCCTTGGCAGGTCTGGTGGAGATCCTCAGCTCTGGGGATGCTTCTTGGGGTTCCACCTCCCCTTTTCTGAGACTGCTTTAATTTCAGCTCTAGGGTGTTCCTGGAAAGGCAGCTATGTTGGCCTGTGGCAGGAGAGGAATTTTCCACTCCATCTCCCCCTCCCCTCAGCCAGCTGGTCCCTGGGATGGTCCCTGCATCTTTGGGTGATCCTGGGTGGATCCTGGAGGCTCTTGATGAAGCCACCCTGGAGGTTGCGCTGGGCCTGGAGGAGGCTTGCTGTTCTCCACCACTGGTGTACAGACTGAGTCAGGCTGTTTCTTGGGCTGGGGGCTCTCTGCCGGGCCCTGCCTGGAAGGGCCCTTTGCTAGAAAGATGGGGGGTGTGGAGCCTAGAGACCCCTTGCTTTCTCTGACTTGCTCCCTCCTTCCAGGAGCAAGCTGTGCTCCCAGGAGCCCCCTTGCTTTCCTCGTGGGGAAGAGGCTGGTCGCCAGGGGAGAGGATTTCTGTCAGGCCCTGCCCTGCCCTGCCTGCCTCTGTGGCCCACCTGGGGAAGGGGATTCAGCTGCAGATTTCAGAAAGGAGCCTTAAGGGCCAGCAACATTTGCTCTGGCTATGTCTTGAGGGTGGGCTCTAAAGAAAATCCCTGTGGGGGGTGGGGGGTGAAGGCAGGACAGGGAGAAGCTTCCATCACGCAAAGAGTGCAGGGACCATGACTGGGGAAATTTACCTCTGGTGGTAGAGGCTTACCTGGGATTTTAAAATTCAGGTGGGGGGCTGCATATCTCTCACCAAAGCAGGCAAGAAAACTTACTGCAATGCCTGATGTGTACCGGTTGCATGCCCAGTTGTGACTCCCTCCCCAGGATTTTCTGGCCAAAAACATGCCTTGAGCACAAAGGCACAGCCCCCACCCTGCTCTGCCCAGCCAGGTGTTTCTTCGTGCCCTTGGGCGGCCTCCGGTGCTTTTGGTACAAGGACAGGGACTTTGAGAATTGCAGAGAATTGCCCGGGGCTCTTCTTCTAGCCCTCCCCTGCTGCATGCCCTCCCCCCCCCCCCCCGCCAATTGCACAATGTCTGGCGGGCCTTTGCCCCACGTCTCTGCTCTTTCTGCCCTTCCCTGTCCAGCTGACCAAGATGAGCACCAGTGACAAGGAGAGGCCCCCCCAGCTGCTCTTTGTGAAGGCCTTGGCCAGCAGGGGGCGGATCGAGGCCATCGCCCAGCAGATGGGCTACCACCCACACTACCTGGACAGCTTCCTCCGCCTCCAGCATTACCTGCTGCACATGGACGGGCCACTGCCCTTCGACTGCCGCCACTTCATTGCCATCATGGTGAGAGCCTGGCCAGAGAGCCCTGCACCTCGGGGTCTCGGGGCCCATCCCGGCGAGCAGCAGGAGCCTCGCCAGAACCTGCTGGGCTTGTGGGGCTGAGGTTGCCTGCTTGCCATTTCATTTGCTTGCTTCTCTGTTGAGTTCCCCCCCCTTGACCCCCTTGCCACTCAAAACTGAACAAGGGCTGTTTGGGAGCTGGAGCTGGTTTGTGAAATGACGTTGACTCTGATCCCTCCATCTCAAGGGGAGAGACTGGCCCTTGTCCACTGCGGGACCCTTGAAGATAACCTACGGAGTCTTGTCCCCCCACACGCAAGGGCAGAAGGGGTGGGTGCTGATGGCGACTGTGCCAGGCAAGGGATCAGGAGGAGGTGGACTGATTCTCTAGGTTGGGGGCGCTGGGTGGGCTTCTGACTCCCAGGTGCAGGATGGGACCGTGCTGGGCAAGGTCTCTGGCCTGGGGGGCCTTTCCCACTGATCTCAGTGCCTCGTGTCTCTCTTGCAGGCCGCTGCCCGGCATCGATGTCGGTACTTGGTGAATCTCCATGTGCTGCAGTTCCTGCGGGTGGGTGGCGACCCCCTGTGGCTGAGAGGGTTGGACTACATCCCCCCCAAGCTCCGCCGGCTCAGTGAGATCAACAAGGTCTTGGCCCACCGGCCCTGGCTGGTTTGCAAGGAGCACATTGAGGTAGCAAACCGGACGGGGCCCTGGGAAGAGAGGGCGCAGCGTTCTCTGTGACAGTTTGGATGCTGGGCCCACCGTGCCTGGCCCCCCAAGGTGTAGCTGATGAGTGGGAGGAGCATAAGTAGCACTCCTCTCTCTCCCACCCCGTGACCTACAAAGGACCCTCTCCCAGACCTCAGGTCCTTCCATCAGCAGATGCTTTAAGAATGCCTGAACTGGTCCTTCCTCCCCCCCCCTATCAAAATAAGCCTGCGGAATAAGTCCTTCGGGAGGATGGTGTAAGGGGTGCTGCAGTTGCAGAGTTTCCACCCACTTGGTTACCTTCAACCTGAAGCCCCCCCCCCGGGCAGTGGTCCACCAGCAGGAGCTCAGAGGTTCCTGGTGTCCTTCTGCATCTCAGCCCCGGCCCCTCGGGAGATGCACCTGAGGGTCTTCTTGGGCCGGGGGGGGGGGAGCAGGCCTAGGCCTAGGCTGAAGCTTTATCCCAGCGAGATGCACCGCCGTGGTTTTGGAAGCCAGCATTCCTTCCTGGCTTCTGATGGTTGGTTTGCCCCAGGAAGAGCTGCCCCTCGCCTGGGGCTCTTTGGCAACTGGCGCTCCTGCCTGGGGCCACTTGTGCCGTGAAGCAAGTATAAAGGCTGATGGAGAGAGAGGGGCGCTGTGGGGGGGAGTCACAGCTTGCTTCTTTTCGGCCCACCCCTTGCAGAAGCTGCTGAAGATCAGTGAGCAAAGCTGGTCACTGGCCGAGCTGGTCCATGCAGTTGTGCTTCTCGCCCACTACCATGCCCTGGCCAGCTTCGCTTTCGGCTGTGGCTGTGAGCAGGACCTCGGCCCAGAGGGACGGGGCTCCCTGAAGCTGGGCCTCCCGGGGAGCGTCTGCTTCTGTGACGTGGGCAACGGCTGCAGCCAGGAGCTGCTGCATCTGAACCGCAAACGGGTGCGTGCCTCGGCTTCTTGGTGGGCCTGAAAGGGGGGGCATGGTGGGCACGGGTGTAGGGCACCAGGCCCCAGTGGCAGGGCATGGGGTGCCCTTTCTAGACCCAGAGGAAGGACCCCTCAGTCGCGTTCCTCCCCCTCTGCAGTCCTTGGATTCCTGCGTGGAGCTGGAGTCTCTTCGGGAGCGTGTCCACCGGCTGCAGGTGGGCAGTGAGACTCGGGAGGAGCTGCGGCTGCCTGCCCAGCGGGAAGAAGGTAAGGCCGCCTGCCACCCTCCCTGGAGGAGAGGCGGTGGAGGGCCTTGCCCAGAGCGTCCTGGGGCCGCCTGGTAGGGTTGGGAAGCTCACTGAGTCCCAGCACTGAGGGTCAGGTGGAGGCCCTTGAGAGCAGCTGGGATGCCACCTCCCCTCCTGCTTGCGTGTAGGCCTCCCTCCCTGCCTCCTTTCTGGGAAAGCAGCCCCTTTGCTGAATGGGTCTGTCTTCTAGGCTTCGAGGGGGAATTCTCGGGGGCCGCAGACCTTTCCTGCTATGTCCTGGATCCCAGCTTTGGCTACCAGGAGTTTGCACAGTGCAATGAGGACCAGCCCCAGATCTTCCGTGTGCAGGTAGAACAAACCTGGCAGTCTCCAGGATCCTGGCGGGCCTTCTGCCTCCCCTTTGGGGGGCTGCTGACCTCGCCCCCTTTAGTGTTCCCTCATGCAGCCACCCTCTTTCTGATCCGGGCAGGATTATTCCTGGGAAGACCATGGCTTCTCACTGGTGAATCGGTTGTATTCCGACATTGGGCATCTGCTGGATGAAAAGTTCCGTAAGGTCGACAGTCTTCACAGCTGCTCGATGGCCAAGCGGCAGGGCTGTGAACATGCCACCTTCAAGCGGGGCATCTGGAACTACGTCCACTGCATGTTTGGCATCAGGTGCTTCTCCTCCTCCCCTTCTGGGACTCCTTGCAGGGCCAGACCAAGCGCAGCTTAACCTTTCCGCAATTTGCTTACTCAAGGAAGGAACGTGGCTTTACAGGATAAACCGTTGGGTGCCGTAATGGAGATGGGGGACTTGGATAGAATTCTCTCTCTGGTCTTTGTAAACATTTTGCTATTACCTTTTAAAAATTGGCCTGAGAATTCCTGGTCTGTCAAGACCTACTACCAACTAGCCTTGTTCAAGATGAATTGGGGGTCTCCTTTGGTGCTAAATCCAGATTGTTTCCTGTTTCCCCTTCCAGATACGATGATTATGACTATGCAGAGGTCAACCATCTCCTGGAACGGATCCTCAAGTTGTACATCAAAACTGTGACTTGTTCTCCAGAGAAGATGGATCCCAAGATGTTTGAGCGCTTCTGGAAACAGTTCAAGCACAGTGAAAAGGTGGGTTGTGTATGTGGAGCAGAAGAGAGAGAAGCGGAAGCCCTGGGCTGGACTGGAACACAGAATTATCCAGTCAGTTTTGATGCGGGGACATTCAGCAGAGGCGAAACAGAATAATTTTTTGTGCAAGGCACAGTTATGTGGCTGTCGTTGGCAGCATGGATGGCTTGGCACAAGGTCCGGACTGGGGACCGGTGATGGAATATTCACCAAGGCTGCCTCGGGCTTTGTGCTGATGCTGCTGGGCTGTCCTTCTGGACACGGTTTCCAACAGCAGCACCATCTTGAAAGATTCTGACCATACCATTTTTAAAAATAGTTCGAATGTACATTTTGCTCCACCCCCAGCTGTGTGCTGATGTTGCCCATGTCAGAGGACTGCCCCGCCCGTCAACCACTCAGCCAAGTCATGGTGGGATTCTGGAGCTTCTCAGTCTGGACCTTCGGGTGGTGGAGGGTCTCCGGTGTCTGAGGCTGGGCTCGAGTCTCCTCTTTGCTCCCGCAGGTCCATGTGAATCTGCTGATCCTGGAGGCCCGGCTGCAGGCAGAGCTGCTCTATGCCCTCCGTGCCATCACGCACTACATGGTCTCTTAGGCCACGGGGGCCACCTGGACTTGGCTGGCTGTGCTCTGGTAGCGGCCCCTCCCCATGTTTACTTGATGCCCTCTCCTTTCCCTTCAAGATGTGAAAAGCCGGGCCTGCAGCAGAAGCCCCAGGGCTGGAGGGCAGCTGGGGGTGCTCCTGCTCATCCCTAGGCCGTGAGTCTCGTGGACAGAAGGGAGCCACAGGGACGTGGCTTCTGTGTTCCTCTTTCTTTCCCAGCCAACTCTAGCGATGATATTTAGTCTCCGTTACAGTATTGGGGAGGGGGCTCCCTCGTCTCGTGCCATTCTTCTGCTCATAGAGTATACCCAGCTATCCTGGGGAGCTGGGAAGGGGGCTGCCATCTTGGACTGGGGTTTCTGGAGAGAGAAGAGGGGCACTTTCTGCTGGCCTCATCTTGCACTGGGGGGGCAACAGGAAGGAAGGCTTCCAAAATTTCTTCTAGTGACAGCCCACCCCCTACCTTCCATCCAAATGGTCCTCGGAAGCCAAATTTCATCCCCCCCCCTGCAGGGCTCTTATCCTGCTTCCGTCCTCATATCCAAAGTCCCACCCCCTCTTGCAAATGTGCTGCCCTCTCTCGCAGCCGCCTCCATGCTGTGGCCCTTGACTGACACCCCCCCCTTCGGATTGCACTTCCCCTCCACACAGTGCAGATACCCAGCCTGCCTTGGCTTTTCTCCTGGCATTTCCCCCTCCTTTGGCTATTTGGGGGAGGTGTCCCACTTCTCCTGATCCAAGGAGTGAGTTTGGATACTGGGCAGGCTCTCATTGACTCCACCTGGCAGATGGTGGAATAGCTCTGCAACAGGAGGGGGGCTGTGGTTAACAAGTGGGCAACCGGCAAAGGAGACTGGGAAGGGGGAGGGACCTGGTGCAGGACATGTGGCAGTAGCTGACTTGTTTACTGTGTAAATGTTTTGGGGGTGGGAACAAACCATTGTGTGGGGAAGAGAGAAAAGCCTATTTTTGCTATAAATATACATGTTTGACAAAGAGCCTGGCCTGGTTTCTTTTATCTCGGGTAGCCCTCGATGGGGAGGGCAGCTAAGTGAGTTCCTCTGTGTCTTGGGGGGACTTCATGGCCCTTTGGGCGCTGCAGCAGAACGAACAGGCCTCTTCTGCACCCCACATGTGATTCCTTCCTGCTTCTGCAGGGAATGAGTGGGTATTTATTCCTAGAGCAGGGCTGCCATGGGGAGAATCTGCAGCTGTGCCCAGTGACTCAACCCTTCCTGGCAGCCCCAGAGGCCGAGCATGGGCTGGCCGTCAAGAGCCCCTTTGGGGGGAAAAGGCCTTTTGCTGTTTTGAAACGGAGGCCTGGGCAGCCTCCCACAATGAATAGTAGGCTTCTGATGGAACTGGTGTCCCAGTCCACTTTCTCTTCTCCTGGACAGAAAACTCTGATCATGGACAGGATGAGGTTGAACTGGGTTTCTGGTCAATTGCTGTTGGGAAAGCCCCAGACTGCTTCACCCAAATCACCAGGACTAGTGCCTTAAGTCACAGTTTGATTCTTCAAAGCCTGACTTGTATCTGAAGCTTGTTTTATTGTAACTTATGATAGACAATCCCTGTGGTTAGCTAATTTGTTTTCTAGTAGCCCAGAAAACTGGGTTAATTGACGTAACCATCATAACCCTTCGAAACAGAGCCTTTCCCCTCCCACCTGTCTAACTGGCTGCATGATTGGGTGCTGGGCCAATCTCCCTCCAGAAGTCCTGCCCGTTCAGCACAGCACAGTGGGGGACAGGGGCGCCTGCTGCTGCTCATCAGATGCACCAGGGTCTCCAAACCTGGCAACTTGGAGACTTGTGGACTATGCTGGCTGGGGAATTCTGGGAGTTGAAGTCCACAAGTCTATAAAATTGCCAAGGGTGGAGACCCATGTTCTAGACCAGGGATCCCCAACCCCTGGTCCATGGACCAGTACCGGGCCACGGCATGCCATGCACAAACAAGCAAAGCCCCATCCGCGAGATGCAGGCAGCACACAAAACCACACACTCTGCAGTCCACGGAAAAACCTCTCTCCATGGAACCAGTTGCTGGTGCCCAAAAGGTTGGGAATCTCTGTTCTAGACTGACCAGCAGAAAAAAGGTTTCTGTCTTTTTATGGCACTCTAAAGGAAACGAGCAATGGGGAGGGCTATTTCTCACTGCTGAAGCTTATAGGTAGAAGATTCCCCCCCCATCTTGTATCACATGAGTTTCAAGCCTTCTACTTCAACGTTTGAGAAATGTGATGGGGGGGGGAAATGTGGGCAAAAGAGCCCCCAGAGACGTCCCCATGATGTAAGCATCTCTCCTCTCAGCAGAATATTTCCTGTGAAGTTGTCCCCTTTTCGCTGGGGGTGACTAAATAGTCCCAATTTGAGGGGGGCATCTTTTCACCAGCTGCAGCTGGCAATTAGGGGTTCCTCTGAATACGAGAGAGCATAAATTCCCAGAGCAGCTACTGCACCTCCGCCCTTGGCAGACACCGGTTCTTCTCAACCGCAAACAGCCAGAAAGTTGAATCCAAGCTCCGTTGAGGAGTTTAGAGGAAGCGGAGGAAGAAAAATCTGCCGCCATGCCAAACTTTCTAAGTGACGAGAGCCGGGCGCTCTCGTGCAACATTCAGTTATGAAAACGGTGCGCTTGGGAGCCAGAAATCTGCCCTTCAGTTACGCAGCTTCCCTCTAAAAGCCATTCTCACGGAGAGCCACAACCCGTGTCTCCGCCCGCGCTAGACACGTGAGGAATGCTGGCAAGCCAGCTGTTGAGTCCAGGGGCGGGGGCGGGACCGGGGCCGAGGGCTCGAGCCGCCGCCGGGAGACTTGAAGGAAGCTGAACTCGCCCAAGGGAAAAGTTTGGGCGACCCTCCCAAGAGGGTCCGAGATGCTCGCACGAGGGGGCGCAGTTTAGACCAGCCGCCTCGTCTCCCGGCGTGTCGCCTCCTCCGGGGCTTCGGGCGGCTCTGGGGGTCGAAACCCTCCCGGGGCTATTGTCGCCCCAGGCCGGAGTGCGGCGTTTCTAGTCCTCAGGATCGAGAGGGGGAGCGGCCGAGCGGCTGGAAACCGCTTCCTGCGGCCGCTTCCCTGTCGGCCAGAGGCGAGTCCACCCGCCCAGAAAGTTGGAGGCGGCCCCTTCGGCGCCGCGCTTCCCGCCCTTCCTCCGGCCAGAGCGGCCCGGCCCGGCCCAGCCCTCGCCCGCCTTCCTCCCGGGGACGCGCAGCCCGGCTCGATGAGCACCCGGACGGGTAAGGGGCACCGGCCGAGGGGGGGGGGCAAGGGGCTGCCAGCGCGATCCGGGGCTGCTCCGAAGGAGCTTCAAGGCCGCTGAGCTCCCCCCCCTTAGAGGGGCCCAGAAGTAACGGCCTTTCCGGACGCGGGACTCGGACCGACTGTGCAGGAACTTTCTCCTCTTTTCCGGATGGGGGGGGAACGGGGGAGGGGGACTTCCCAGCAGGAGTTCCGGAGGCATTAAAGTTTTCCGGGCAGCAACTGGAGCTTTGGGAGGGGCTCGGAGGGGAGTCGGACCTGAGGGCTTCTGGCGACCGAGTCTCCAGGGAGATGCCACAGGTGTGGACCTTTGCTCCTTTTCCACCCCCTCCCCTGAGATCGTGCCAGCTGGAGGAGGGTCTGCAGCTGGGCCTTTGTCCTCCCAGGTGAGATCCCCCTGGGGAGGAAGGCCCCACTTAGAACCTTCTTGGCTGTGGAAAAGTTGTGCTTCTAGTCCTTAGGAATGGCACTTTTCTCTTGAAAACCTTCTTACCTTTTGCTTCTGCCCTGGAATGCATGCCAACCTTGAGTCTGAAGGTGGTCCTGAGCCAAGAGCGTCTCCAAGGGATGGACTTGAAACAGAACACCTGGCTGCATATTTTACTGAATTGTTTGGGGGCCCATTTACAGGCCCCTGGGATTGCTGGGGGTCTTGTAGGTCTTGGGGTGCAGGCAGAAAAGTCCTTGGGTGACAAAACGGGACTGGAAGTACAGCTGAAGCTTGGCAGCAACTTCCACCTCTGAGAGAACTTGGGCTCGCTCCAAAGGAGCTTTCTTACATGTGGAGAACTGGTCCTATTCAGACAAACCTCCTATCTAGACCGGCCCCATCTAACTAGAACCTCTGGAACCGCCAGAGCCGCTCGTTGGTGCTAACAGGCCTGGTCTCTCCATGGGAGAAAAAAAGTCCTCCTGACCTAGATTGTGTGAATGTGGATCCTGGATTCTGACCCATGCTGGAAAACGGAGAGACAAGGAACTGCTGTCTGCCAGCTGTGCGAAGATGAGCCCTGTGTCCTGGGGAGGGGGAGCCCCGGCCTCCCTCAAGCTTTGCTCTTGCCTTGCAGACACCCAGCGAGCTGTGGCAATCCTGGCCCGCTATCGGGGGATTCTGCAATCCCCGGCGGAACAGCCTCTGCGAGCCTCAGTCGAGAGAGTGGTCCGTGTATTTCAGAGTGAGCTTTTCCAGGCCCTGCTGGGTAAGGGTGGCTGGCAACAGCCGAGCGCGCAGGCTATGCCCCTCCTGGGGGGGCGTCTAGGTTTAGGCTCCCTTAAACCAGAACAACCACTTAGGGGGTGGCGATGTTCAGGCCTCCCCAGAACTGTATGCCACAAAGACAGGAGTCTCTTCAGAAGACCTTGTGCAGCCTCTGGGCATCTTGCACAGCCTAATAGGAAGGAGGCAAGATAAAAATAGGGTGGGGGCACTGCAGAGCCTTCTCACTCTCAGGGGCTGCGTTTGCCCCCCCCCGGCTATGCTCAGGGTTCTCTGTGGAGCAGAGCTACTTTTTGGCTCAGCAGGTGAGACCACCTGGCTCCTCTTGCCTGACTCCCTCAGCGAGGAAGGTGAGCCCATAGCCCCACAGGGATGGCTGGCAGCCCATTCTCCCTTCGATCAGCCTGTTAGAGAACCAGATGCCTGGATTCTGCTGAGGAGCTGCAGGGAGGTGTGGAATGGCATCTGGGAGGATCTGCTCTTCCCACCCTGGGGAGGGAGAAAAAGCATTTGGGGGGCATCAGCTTACAGGCTGGTCTGCAAAAGTTCTGGGGAAACCTGGCTGTGTTTCCCTCTATGCAGCCTGCCCGAATGGCATCCCGGCATATTCAGAGGTCCTTGGGGGGGGTCCTCTGCCAGGGGGCAGGGCAGGAGGGGTCTTCTGAGCTGGCCTCTCAAGGCGTCTTTCGGTCTGTCTCCCAGACATCCAAGAGTGCTATGAGCTGAGCGTGCTCTCCACCTGCCAGCAGGATGGATCTGCCCATCTGGGGCCTGGGGGGCCCTCCAAGATCCATGATGCTGCCGACCCAGGGGGCCAAGAGGGCCAGCCGCTGCAGGTGAGACCGAGGGACCCCCTTAAGGAGGGGCTCACCTGTGCTTTCCTTCAGCACCTCTTGTAGCTCCCTGGATACCTAATTAGTTGTACCAGTGATGAGGAACTGCATTTGGCCCCACACTGGGGCCAAGCCCTTTCGCCCCAAGCCTTTGGCTCTATGACAGGATGCCCTGCTCTGCCCTTCCCTTCTGGCTGCTGAGCTGGACAGAAACACGTGGGAAGCCCTCTGTCACTGGTGTCCGATGAGAAGCTGCAGGGCCCCTTGCTTGAATGCCTTTCTCCAGCCAGTGGTGGATCTCCTGCTCGCCCTGGGGGGAACCAAGGCCCTGCAGCCCTTTCATCCCCCTGCCCTGATTTGAGGCTCCCCTGGATCCCTGGCGGGTCCTCAGTTTGGGCATTAGAGTAGCTCCTCCCCACAGCCCCCCTTTCCTCCCCCCCTCCTGCCTCCATCATCTCCTGACTTTCTCAGTTTCTTCTAAAAGTCCAAGGCCGGTAAGAGACCCCATTGATCATTTGCAGGGATGTGCTCTGGTTCCCTTTCATGCTGACCTTGAGGCCTTCTTAGCAAGCTGTGTTTTAATTGGCCAAGCCTAGAAAATTAATGTCTGTGATTTTCAGTGCTTATTTTTTAAAAGAGGAAAGAGCATGTCTCCCATCCTCATGGCAACAGCAGACGGAATTGGC